CTGACTGACTAGTGAACTAACAGACTGACTGACTGACTGACTGACTAACTGACTAACTGACTTACGACTAGCTGATCGACTGACTAGCTGACTGAAACAGGCCAGCAAACTGACCTCAACTAGCAACGGAAACACAACTCTGACTGTTCTTCTAGTGAATTGCCCATCAACATGTATGTGACAAGATTGCCAATTACGTACCTTTCTAGGAAGTCTCCAATCCTTTGCGTGAAGAAGTAAGTAGCCAGTTACCATGCCAACAAGATACGGTGAAATACGACAATAAGGCTTTTCGTAAGTCAGAGACATGGAATCCACATGTTTCAGGCTGCAAAATCAATAGATAAATACACATTGTTGATCGCCAAGCGATTCTCGCCCATGCGAATACTAGATAATTTGGTTTTATCAACTGAGTTAATAATGTAAATTGCTAAAGCTGACGTTTCGACCGTTAGCCCTTCGTCAGCTTTAGAAACTCTTTAGGGTGACCAATTTAAATTATCAACTCAGTTGACATAAAACCAAATTATCTTGTAACACCTCCCTTCGACGCCACACCTGAGTTTCTTGAGAAACTTACCCCCTTTATTTGCAGCAGATACTAACTGAGTCAACCAATCAAGGTTGGTGATTTTTCCACGTGACTTTTCAAAACGATACATTAAAATACAACTCACAAGTGCAAAGGTGAAAGAGCAGACAAAAGAGGGAGTTCTCACGTTTCTTCCTGAGCTGCTTTACTAAGCATAACGGCAGCAATGTTGTAATGTGCATATATAACAGCTGTGGTGACGAAACTGATGCTCAGTAAGCACCCAACAATCACAATCAATCCTCGAAGACGAAACCTAAGAAGAAACAAACAAGAACAGAGGATGACTAAGCCTTGGTTTAGATTTCCTAATCCATAGAGAATGAAGTCCTTTGCATAGAAGAAAAAGTATTTCCAAGGAAAACATTAAATTAGTTTTTCCCTATTTTTTCCTGTTATTCAACATTTACTTTTCAGCAAACGGAGAGGTTCATCTCATCTAGTCAAAAATTAATAAAATGTCATTGCATTTTATTGTCTTTAGATTTTCGTAAACTTCCAGAGAAAACATTTACAACGGTTGAAGGAAGTGAAAGGTATAATTTGCGAAGACGAGGATGTGGAGGAAAATGATACCCGCCTGGAGAAAGTAGACTTATTCCTCAGACACAGGAGCTTTTGCAAGAGACCGGCCGTAAATGTTAGCTCCATCATTTATACGAGCTTTTCTTTTCTGTAACAGATGTACTCTCTCTTCAATTCATACCTGTACGCTACGAAGAGTATAGCGGGAGCAATGATGTGAAACTGCATGTCATTCGCTAAGTACCAGGCCCAACCAAAGCACTGTAGAGAAAAACATCGCCAGTTATGGCCACAATTCCATTGGACACATACAAAAAACTTACAGAGGAAAACATCGTACATCCATTCGGAGTACTCAAAAAACTGCAGTTCTGGCCACAATTTTTCTGGCCACATTTAAAAACAGGCAGAAGGTCCTCGACGCTGCCTTAAGGCCTGGCCAAACGCACGCTACATTTCAACGCAAAGTCTTGCAACATTGTTGCGAGCAATGTGTTGCACACTTTTGGCCACCCTGTAGCAACACGTTGTGACATGTTGGATGGTTTTGGACCAAGTTGAAAATGGTCAAAGTTTTGTTGCAACATTTTTGGACGTTGCAAGATGTTACGCGCGTTTAATCAGCTTCTTCACGATTTAACAATGTTGCAGGACATCGCGTTGAAATGCCCAAAAAATTGCTCTGACTGACGTAAGGGAAGCAAAGGCAGGAGGGAAGTCCTGAACTCCTGATTCAGTCTCACGCACCACATGTATAAAAGGAGGATTCCAATCTTCCTTTAGTGGAGGTTTTCGCCGGACACACTGGTTCATAATGCAAGAATTACGCTCGCCTATCTGCACAATTCACACATCACCCGTTTCAGCCTTAATCGCGTGTCACGTATAAATACTTTGTCACCCTCTAATGTTAATACTTAGGGAAAATTCTCACTGATGCATTCATGCTAGTTGGATAGAAGTTGTTAATGTAGAGTAAGTTGGTCCACCAATACTTGTCACACGGGTTCTTTTCCTGTGCTTGATACCAAAGAGGGCCGTCACCAAGAAATCCATTCAGTTTGTCGTAAAACAACAAAACGAACATGTAAGCTGGAGTTAATCTGGGGAAAGATATGAAAGAATCCATTACACGAGGATCACTACCCAAACTTGTAGTAAAAAACTATCACAATGCATGAGGCACTGACCTAGGGAGAGCAAATTATCAATGTCTACCTGAATGAAAATCATTTAAACGTAAAAAAAGCTTCATAAACCATTGGAAAATTGTTTCTATCCCGGCCATTACGAAGGTGGATGAAAATGTAACACTTATGGCAGTTCTGAGGTTCCAACCTAAGCGCTGGAAAATTATCTGCAGATGTCCTTCGAATCCAAGTACGGACGCCACTATTTTGAAATATCTCAGTAACTTGCCCGCATACGCAAAACCACAACGCCGCACGTCACAAATAACTTCTGCTTTAGTCATAACTACAATTATAAACAAAAGCAATTAAAACTGTCTTTTTATGTGGCTCCTAACTACTGAAACTCAGCCGGTTGGTAATCTCCTCTTCAGCCATCAACTTGGTTTGTTACGCAACATATCACGAAGATCTTTGAGGTTTGTAAATAGAATAAGAGAGATGGAAAGTTTTGAAGTTGGTCCAACGTGTGGACTTAACGATGACGAATTTAAAAATTGTCACGCGAGGAAAAGACTTACCTCCAAAAACGATGGAAGTAGTACTTAAAAAGTGGCAGCTGTCCATTTTTCTTCTCCATGTGACGCAAAGACAAATACGAAACCAGGAGACCACTGTGAAAAAAAAAAGGTTAATTACATAAACTGCTGTGTTTTACAATTAAGAAGTTCTTTTTCTGAAAGAAGCCGTAACAGCACACGCGTAAAATTACGACAATTTTCCACGAGTTTGACACCGACAATCAGCTGCTGACACGTAACTTACCTTTTGCGCCAATCTGTCAGGTTAATGAATGAATGACAGAGCCTTCACCATTCTCCATCTGACGTCGTTTATCGAAATTTTCTCGGATAATGGCTGCTAACAACACTGAATAATTCGTATCGCTTACAAAAGATGACGTAAAAATTTTCCCAGAAGCGGAAGAAAACCAAAATAATAGAAAAACCTAGTTTTGCTCGGCTTTGGCAATGGCATTTTCCGCCGATTTTTTGTTCTTGTTGCGCCTACGCAGTTAACGACCTTTTTTCGCAGATTGTGGATCCATTCATTCATTCATTCGTTAAGTCGAGTTTCTTATTGATAAAAACGTATTTTGTTTATACACTAAACAAAATAATACACTGTTGCTTTTAGATGTGGAATTTCTCTTCTCGTGTTTAACTCGATATCTTACGCGTTCGCTGTGCTCACTCGTGAGCTACCGAGTTGAACACTAAAAGAGAAATTCCATATCTACGTGCGCCCGTGTATTATTCTCTATTTAATACATGAGATGTAAGCACACAGTAATAACTAAAACACCCTTCTGCATAATACCATCGCAAATTGCCGATGATAAGAAGTATCCTCTACCGGTAAAGAGAGTGGCCTTTAAAAACGTTAGGGAAACGACTCCTTCATTAGGATTGGGCGACAACAAACCACAGATCTCATAGACTTGCAATTAAACTGATGTATTAAAAGAGTAGAAATAAATAAAAAATTGCGAAGGGCAGCCTTGTGAAGTGTCTTGATTACCCCTATGCATTATGAACATCTCCCTTAGAAAGAAATAAATACAAAAATTACACCATAAACTAAATAAGGTAGCCGTCTACTACATACCTCAGGAAGAAGAAACTGTCCACCGAAAAGGTAGCATTGCCAATAGCTTCAAACGTAAATCGTTGTATGATTTGGAGCAGGAGGAGGAGGTTACCTACAGATTAAAAAAAAAAAAGAGAAAAATACGAATGATGTAAAGTGATGGTGGAAAGACCTAGCTTGAAATATGCCATTCGCAGGTGAATCAAATAGTAAACATTAAAGGAAAAAGACAAGGAGAGACTCCAATTCTAGCGATTTTATTGTATTCCAACGGGCGGTTTTATTGTGCGCTTCACAGAAATAAGCGGCGAGGCTGACAATTTTCCGTCCCAGATCAATTGCGGCTTCGCCGCTTATTTTCATGGCTCCGCCAATTGTAGGCTCGATAGAGTGCGGAAAAAACAAAACCAAAGAAATCGCAACTGCGAGTCAGTACAAAGGACAATAAAATCCACGTTTTTCTTCCTCTATTTCTTTACCGAGCTTAAAACATATCATCTTTCTTATTTTTCCTACTCAAGATTAGTTTTCACTTTGAATCTGTTTGGTTGAAAAATTTAACGTATTTTTTACAAAATCACGGCGAAGTAGAGCAAAACCAAACCCATACAATTGTCAACAGTCGATCGAAAATTGCTTTATGAGGTGAACAATACTTACTCATAGTTGATACAGTTTGAAACCCATAGACATGTCCCAGGATCACCCACCACATACTCATCACTCTCATTCCATTGATCGACGTGATGGCACTGGCAGGGACTTTGGTGTCCATAATACGGCTTGTGTTTTTAATTAATGAGAAACACAGAAAAAACTGCACCACTACATCTATGAGAATGTAACAGAGATAGAAGATAGAAGAAATAAGGATTGAATTTATTTCATCAACGATTTTTGAGGAGTGGTTCCAGTGCACGGTAAACCGAAAGTATTTGCATTGTTCTAGTTTCTTGATCAGAGGACCCTCGTAACATATCTGACCCCTATCTTCCTTGTCATAAATAAATTAGCGTATCTGAGTGCCAAAAATTCCACAATGTGAAGAAAATCTGAAACCGACCAGGGCTGCCTGAACTTCGCTAAAAAATATGAACAAATACTGAAGAAGAAGCAAACATGTTCGATGTGCGAGCAACGACGCCCGAGACCTAGACGATCAGAAGGAAAAAAACCTACTAGTAATGGCCCAAGCGAACGTTTGTGAGCAATGGACGCCATGTTACGCGTTACGCCATTAAAGTGGATGCTAAAATTCGCAAAAAATATAATTCTCGGGTTTTCTTCAAAAATTTAGGTTTGTTGAATGTATTATTATTTCTTTTTTTATCTTGGAGAGTTAAGTTTGAATGTGATACGTGATAATGGTGAACTCGCAAATTGTGTTCTTGTGCGGCTAGTACCTATTGCATCCCTGGATCGTGCAACTGATCTTTTTGTTTTCAACTACGACTCTATTTGCAATTTTGAAGAGCCAAACAGAGGTTCTTGCCTTTTGAAAATCCTACTTCAAGGACTTCTGTTCAAATTCAACGGCAAAGAAGTTCGTAAAAAGAAAAATACGGTTAGAGCTGCACTCACAAATAAGGAAGTACTGCCATGGCAGACCCATCCTTAGGAATAAATTGATCAACAGGCTCACTTCTTCGAAGGGAAGAAAACGCTATCTACTGGATAAAGATATCTATATATTATGGATAGCGCAGTATGATCCGATGAAAAGCGATTCATCCGTTAGATAGCGTTACCCGTTCTTCAGTTAAACATCAGGGTCCTCTACTTACTTGGCTCATCTTTCCTCTGGGGAAAACTTGAAAGCCTGGAAGATGCACTAATTGCCACTTCAGGGGATGGGTTCAAAAATTGCGTGGTGTCACTGCTATGCGTGCCACTTCCTGTGAATGAATCAGGAACATCACCTTCAAGTGTTACCAGGGAGTCATCTCTGATTGGCATGAAGCCATTGCTTTTGTTGACAGGTGCGGAGGGTTTCTTCGAAAAGCTTATAAAAATGTCGCAAAGTGTTCCAACAAGGCAGAGAAACAGGATTAGACCACACAAGATCCTGTGAACAGTTATTAAAATTATTAATAATAAGAATAATGATGTTTTAATTATCTTGAAAACTACATGGCATCTGATTAAAGTGTTTGATTACATGCAAATTATTTTCAAACCCTTTTGTTTGTAAACTAATACCTGAACAATAACTATTCTCTGTGTTTAAAAAAAGTGCAAAACATTGGTTGTAATTTGATTATTAGGAAAGAGGCCACTTAACCAGTACATACACATGCATTTATTCTTCACAGCCTAGAAGTGATTGGCATGTAACTTCTCCCTATACTATCTGAACATCATCCACCAAACAGGTGATGTGATGGATCAATATCAGTATCTGGGCAACTGCCCACCTATCCCCCCCCACCCAACAACAGTCAGTTGATAACAAGTTAGGGTTAATGTTGGGTTAGGGGAGGGGTAGGTGGGCAGTTGCCCAGATGCTGATATTGATCCGTTGTGAATAATCAAACTTATCAAACTAAAGTTATCTTCACCTTGTTAAGGAAATGTGTTGCAGCTAGCAAAGAAGAATTTACAATCAGATCTTGGGAGTTAAGGGTTTAAAACATATTCAAGTTTGATTTGTATGCAAGTATTAAAAGCAATTGTAAACATAGGCGTGTGTAGCATGCAAGAATTATTTTTTTGGCTGAGCAGGTTGAGATCGGACTCTTTGTGTACCTAATGTTTTCATTTTTGTAACAGAAAAAGACCATAACTTTCCAATGGATGAATATATAGTATTACTTCAATCACCTTAAGAGAAACAAAAGGAAAGAAACCTAATTTATCTGCATTCACACAGGTATTTTGTGGTCTATTGTCTACATACTTTTAAACAAAAATAAAATGCATAGGTGCCACACTTACTGTTGTTTCCCTCACAGCCGTTATTTGGTCTTGTCACACAACACCATATATTCCCCATTGGGAGAGTGTATTGCATGATGAGACCAAATAATGGTTGTGAAAGAAACTAAGCTAATTACCGTTCCTCCAACAGAGAGAAAACAAAAATTATTCGTCTACCATTAGTTGCCTCAAAAATATAATTCTACATAATTTTCAAAACAAAAAGCAAACTGAAACTTTGTTGTATTTCCAATATACCCTAACCAAGGATATGCTGTGATCTCCAATAAGTGAAGATACATTGAACAAGAGAAAAGGATAATATTTCAAAGAGGGCTTCTTGATTGGTTTTTATCTATCTGGACTTTGCCCTGTATGTGTGAGAAATATGTGATAAATGCAGGTTGTTTACAAGGAATTAACACACTAGTTGGTTGCGTCCAAGGTAGCTAAAAGCCAATTTTATTAGTAAGTCAAAACATGGGAGAATTGCTTGGAAAATATACCATCAGTAGCATTTAGTTCCATGAGAATTTTTTTCAATGGGGTTGGACAATGTTGTTATAATACCTGATGAAATGCAGGTTGTTTACAAGGAAACGACACATGATGGAGAAAAGTCTAATTTGGTAAAATAGAATTTGATCGGTGGAATACAATTCAAGCACATGAAAAATTGCCTAATGGTTATGTAATGCAGTGATTTGGTATGTTCTGATTAGACTTTGGATGTTGTTTTCATAGTGCGTGATGGAATGTAAGTTGATCAGCATGTGAGTTGCATGTAAAGGAGCAGAAAAAACATGTTTTAACTTTAAAATGATACAAAAAGTTATACGCCAACCTTTCATACCCTGGTAAATCTCAACCTCAACTGTCAAGGCTCTCGCAAAGGACACAAACTACTACACTTATCAATATTAGCCCAAAATTTATGGTTTATGTCATTCTTTGTGCACAGCCCCTTGATTCCATGACATCATTTGCAAAAAAGCTGTGATATGATTGACATGAGATACATACCCTAAATGCTGTGACTGGTGTGAGATATCTAAATGCTGTGATATAATTGGTGCAAGATACATACCCTAATGCAGCAATCTGATTGGTGCAAGATACATACCCAAATGCAGCAATGTGATTGGTGCTTACAACATACCACTCTATACACTAACATAGAGTTATTTTTTTTTATTAAATGAAAATAACTCAATAAAAATTCTTGTATGTACTTACAGAGTGAGTATTACTCCAGTTGTGTATTCTGATTTCTTCTGACAGTAAACAGCTTTGCCGCTTGGTGGCAGTCCATATCCTTTCTGAGGCCTTAATTCTACCTCTGTCCTATTCATATACTTATTGATTCCTATGTGGAAATAAAAAAATAATAATAAAACCAAGACTTAACTACTCAAAAATTCTAACATTCCAGCTTTCACCTGACTTGTACTATCTTGGGAATACTACCTTTAGTTACTAGACTAAGTATAAAAATTGTGATTGTACACACCTGTAAACATATCTTGCAGTCCTGCTGTAACATCCTTTTCACTGCATTGTTTTGGAGCACAAATACCCCAGCGCACAGGAATAGACTAGTCAGGTAACAAAGACAAATGATGACTGCATGCACAGTTATGTACCATCTAAGCTCACTCATTACATCCTACAGGGTTTATTAACCACCGGATATTGGATAAATCTCTAATTGTTGATTCTCAAAGGCCTGAGTTGTTTATTTTACTTCAGATGTGCTCAGTATTCTATCTTTACTTAAAACCTTTCACTCCCAGTTCTCATTAGAAATGCTGCTTACTGTCTGCAATACAATTCTTCTAATGTAAGTTCTGAGCATTTGGTATTGGATCAACTGACAATCCCCTGATTTAGCAGAAAATGCTTTAAAATCTTGGAAAAGTGGAATAGGTAAATAAGTTTCTTTAGTTATTATAATACAATAGATTTTAAATGTTTTGTAAGAACTCAATCAAATATTTTTAATTCATAATTTAACATTGTGTTAAAATTTATATACTACTAACCTCAGTAATAGTTAGGGGAGGCTGTGGAAAAGCCACATAGGCCAAACAATAGTGGGCATCAGGAATACTTTCAGTACACTCACTGTAAGATCCTAACCAACCAGTGTTACCCAGAAAAAGTCCACTTTGAGGTTTACCAATAGCATCCAAATCTGAAGTAAATAGACAGCCACCAGCTATTGTAAGTTGATATGTACTACTAGTATTTTAACTATCAATGTATAGTAATGTTAAGTTATCAAAATGATTGACTTTATCACAATAACCATTATCACCATTTAGAACACCATATCTCAACTGAGACAACACAATAAGACCAGCCAATGATGCAACAGCCAAGATAAACTTCTTGCAATATAAAAAAATGCAAAATAGTTGCAGATGAAAGACTCAAAAAATTAAACAATCTATCAATTTTTGTCTAAAAAACCTGAACACAGTGCTGGTTTATCTGTCTCCTATTCCCACACATAATTAGCAGTTGCAATCAGCGTTTCGCCGGGGGGCTGGCTCTTGTCCACAATGGCGGGGTGTCCGTAACAGTGAGGTGTCCGCAAGGCGAGAATCGACTGTATTTAGTGACAAAACCATCAGCTGAACTACTATTCATTCTAAGAGTGCCAGTTTGCTACTCGCAGTCTAAGAGTGTTATCTCTCAATCGAAATACACTTAAAACAAAATTCAACTTCTTGAAAACAAAGCGAATAGTCCCAAAGGTAATCTATTGTTTGCGCTATTGTTTTCTTCTAACAAAGGACTGTATGCATAATGAAGTATGGGGCTGTGCGGAAACTTTGCCGCGGTCGATAGCGGATTCTACCAGACGGTGTAGTACGTTGCACAAACCTCAGGGGTAGTTAAACTGCTACAATTTATTTATAGTCGTCACCTCAGAGAGTTGACCCTTTAAGAAGTTGACAGAAACCACCGTACGCAAATACGTTGTTGGCCGTGAGATAAAGGTAAAAAAAAGATATCACGATTTCTTGATCACCTGACATCTAGTATCAAAACCGGTTCACATGACATCATGCTAAAGATAGAACTGGACGGTACTTGCGGTTCGTACAGAAAAAAAAGGTTAGGCAAAGTTTATAAGGGGAGTTAAGTTGGTCATTTTGTCACGCAACTATTAAGGCTAATATTCGAGATTCCTAACCGAAAAGTTGGAAATTAGACGCGCCATACTCACAACTATAGAATAGCGGCGAACTGAACGATGAAAGTTTCTGGACGATAGCTTGGCACTCTTCGGAGACGTCTGAGAAATTAAATTTCGGGAGTGGAAATGGGAATGGAAAGCCAAACTGCCGAGCGATGTGACTGTTGCCTTCCCAAACGGATCCAGGAGATGAAGATGAACATCTCTGAAGCACAGAAAAGGTGACGAACACAGCAAAGGATTTAACAGCAGCTGTCTTCGTTGTTGCACAACTCGCCATGATGAGGCCGGACGATGAGCCGTAACGAAATGTGATGTCATGACGATGAGAAAGCGTATAACACTCGATAACTGAGAGAGAGACTGGAAACGACAGCTATTCTTGGAGATTGCGATTAGGCTCTATGTGAGCAACGCGAATCAACGAAAGGTTTGTAAGGGAATTTGACACTCGGATGTAACGAAATGCTCGTCCGTGAACAACTTGAGACGACGAAATAGAATCAGCAATCGAGCTAGAACGCAATCTTGAAAAACTAACGACAAACGCCCTGAACAGTTCTTGGAAAGTAAAATAAATCATGAAAATTTTTTACTTGTTTGTTTCTCTTTGGTGGTTGATATGGTTAATGTGAGAAAAAGAAAATGTAACAACGTAAGTTATTTGGTATTTCTGTCTATTTTTCTCTCTCTCTTTTTTTTTTCCATTTCGGTGAATTTCTGCATCTTTGATTTTTATACAAGAGGGTGAATCTTTTAAACCCCTTTACAGAACCCTAAGACCCTCTCCCCTTTTAACTTTCTTGCTATACGCCCACTGGCAAAGAGTGTCCATATGGAAAAAAGTGTTCATGAAATTACTTTACAGCTTCAGCGGAGTGCTTGCAGCGTAGCACCATAAGTAAGAGAATATGGTAAGTCATCAAGACGCGAAAACATAATCATGACGTTGGGACTGTGTCCGTCCGTCGCAACATTACGCTCTTTCATGTCTGTGTTACATGCCACTTGAAACGAAGCTTTCCAGATTTCGAGAACATTTGGAGCCCCCCCCGACGGCTTGGCTAAATCTATTCTTTGCAGCGCTCAATAAGATATCTCATATTCTCGTTCCAAATTGACTAAGGATGAAAGTATAAGTAGTTTATAGAGTGTTCTGGAACAACATTGAACGTTGCAGTCTGATTGTCCGGGTGGGAGTAGTTCTGAGGAGGACTGTTGTCGTTAATAGTAACTATCCTTTCGACAACCTCAGCGGAAATCATCATTAGTGTTGAGTCTCGACACAAATCTACGTCGATCATTTTAGTTTTTACAGTAGTTTTTTTCAGGTCATATTTGTGTACTCCTCTACAGACCACCTAAAATGAAGGAAAATTGATTGATATTTACAAATAGCGGTCTCTTTCTTGAGATGTGGATGCGATCAGCAAACCTCAAAGTGGACTTTTTCAGGGGAACACTGGTTGGTTAGGACCGTACAGTGAGTGTACTGAAACCATACCTGATGCTCACTATTATTATCTATTTCCAAAATTAGACTCTACTGGTAGACTGAAATTTTACAGAAAATGCTTCTCTGGTCAAGGAATGAATGTAAATCGTGAGCTACCCTGAGGAAAATAATCCGCTTTTGACTCCTTTGTCCCTACGGAAGTCTAATTTGGAGCATATCAACTTCTCATTACTCTAAAAGGTAATTCTCCCCACGGATCACTGACATTACTCAAGAGAATATTCTCTTGGATTACCGTATTCGCTATTTATGAGAATTTTTTAATTCATAGTAAAAACACCTTTCCCTCATCAGCTAGCACGCGATAGAAATCGAGAACAAATAATCTAATTGTTTTAGTACAAATCTAGTGGTCATTCCAAAAGTAACAACAAGAGAGGCTTGTTGTTCACACCCACACACTATTTGGGTAATCACTTTACTCACTGCTCAATCGCAGAAAAGATGGCGAGTAACGAAATCTAGTAAGTTTATCCTAATTCTTAATATCTACCTGCTCATCAATTAATGGCCGGTAAAAGGAGAATTTTTTAACTAATCACTTAAATTCTAAATTGCATCTATTTTCGTAGCCAAGGATTACAACCCAGGCCTTCAAACCGAAATATTCCTGATCTAGAAATGCATACATTTTGAATTACTATCATGCAAATCACAACTGTTTCCTGCGTTAGCAGTTGCGCAAAATCCTTTGGCTTCTGGGTGTTAGTTTCGAAACGCTTAGTTAATACACATTTTATTATCGTTTTTGTTCTGGTTCATTTCTATCAATAAGTCTTTCCTTAGTTAATGATTATTACGCAATAAATGTTTTTATCTCCGATCAATTCCCATTTAGTACACGTGTAAAGATTCTATTTCAATCGCTACTGAATCACTGCTACAAAATCATCGCTGCAAAATCGTCACTGCTAGATAATCGCTACAAGCTATTTGCTACCATTAGGAGCTAGACCAAAGTAAGTCTCTATTTCTTTAACATTTACGTTGTTTACCTTTTGTATTTATTATTGGTGTAGTTCTCGTATACAGTTTTCCGTGCAATCGTTTCATTTTTAGTTAGGTTAATGTTACATTTCGCAACGCATTTTTCTTAGTTTAGTTCATGTTGTATTTTCTTTTAGTTCGAACCACACTCACACACGCAACCTCAACCGCTACTCTTATCGAGCAAATTCCGTCTTAGCGCTATCATCCAAAAACAATAAAGATCACTGTGTGCGTTCGAATTGTCCGCTCATTCTCTTAGGTAACCTTTTGAGGTTACACTGAGGACAAAGTCAGATGCTAACAACAAAAAATGTTAAAAGCGACTAATTATCAAAAATTATTAATTGCATTGGATGTATTGTGATGACCATAATGATGATCATAACAATACGTGTCAGTGTTAGAATAGTGCATCAACGAATGAAGTGTGCGAGACACTTGCTTCCAGCCATGACATCTGAGCTCAGTTATCGCCTTTGAATATTAACTTCTCCAGCTGCATCATGGGATATTCCACACACACTGACACAATAAAGGCCCCTGCATACGTAATGCCAAGTACACCGACATAACAGAAAGCCTAGAGACCAAACAAAGACAGTTACTTTTAAACCAGCAAACCGCGATACATTAATCCGGAAAAGGCGACGCTAACAGCCAAGAAAACTACCTAAAGCGCGGGAAAACGCGGGTAACCAAGTCGAAATTGGTTTCAGTTATGGATCTACTGATTGGTTGAAAAAGTGGCGCAAGTTTATCGACCAATCACAAACCAAAGTAAAGCAAACCAAAGCAATCCCGGATTGCTTTGGACACTCAGATAAAAATGGCTCCATTTTTCACAGCTATTCATTTGGAAGATAAATATATACCTGCTAATTTTCATGGGGTCAAAAGCGTGCGCTTCTAATCGTTATGATGCCAGCGTTTTCACCCAATGTCAGCGTTGTCCCTCACCTAAAAATTCTCTGGCATTTTTCCTTGCTCGCTGTAGAAGTTAGAAGTACTAAATGACCCACTTACCACATGCACATCAGAATATGCCCAAACAGTCTCAAACGAGAAAAACAGAGTGTGGATGATGATGGGGTGAACCAGATAGGCACAGTACGTCAGCCGGCTCAGTGGAATCCAGAATCGAGCCGACAGGAATTTATTCACCAAACCTTGCAACAGAAACAAATCAACAAAAGTTTTTTAATGTAACATTGAGAGATTCTCTAGATATGAACATAAAAATCACCTGAGATCATTGGTTCGACGGTCAGCCATACATACTGTTAAGGTCACATCTAAGTGAAGTACCATCAATTGTCCCTTTAGACCATCGTTACCGGGGGGGGGGGGGGGGGGGGGGGGAGAAATCACCTGTCCACGGATTAATGGCTGCATTCCGAGGTCACTGAGAGACCTGTCTTTTATACATGATACTAGACAAAATCTAGGCTGTTCTGCACCAGACAAAAATAAGCCCTACACTACTGGATTTGCCATCAGCAGGAGTTGGATGACTTCTGTAATCCAGCAGGTTTTGTTACAGACAGATCCTTGACTAAAGTTAATAATGAACAGTTCATTTAGCAGTGTAAAATAACATTCTTTAAAACTTTGACTAGGTCCCATAAAACGATCTCCCAATGAGCACAAATACTCTCTGAATTCAAACATCTGTCTCATAACGTTGCAAACAAAAATTAAATAAACAATCAAAAATAGGAGCGAAGTTAGTTATCGAATGGACCCTTGAGATCGGAGGTAATTACATACAAAGCTAGTACTTCAAAATCTATTGTAATTTCTGCACTTCCTTTGACACTCAGCCAGTTATCAATCAAGACGTACCTCCAAGCCTATTATGGCAAGCAAAAATCACCCAAGCTAGTGCCAGGCTCCATGCAAACCGTGAGAAAGTCCCGTATATGATATTCTCAGCGCGAGAGAATGGCACGGGATTATCTTTCCTGGTGACTTTGTACGGACCATACAGAGTAGACAGGGCGAGAGCGATAGCAACACACCAGCCAGCCATGTTGATCAAGTACGTCCGAACCTTCAATAAATTTTATAAAAGTCAGGAAATAACTTTGTATCCTAGGAGCTTAACACCCTTCTTTATTATTATTTTTTTTTAGAGGGAGGGACCATCCTTGTCAGACCTAGTCTGTAACTCTCCCGGCTTTCAGCTGTACATGTACATGACAAGAAGAATTTAGTACCACAACAAAATAACACCCTATTTCTACACCCTATTTATCACAGAGATTAGATGATCGTATTTCTCGAACCCATCCGGAATAGTTTTTGGAAGAAGTTACTGGTTAATCACTCCTTGGCAGACAACTAATAGGCCAAATAAGCCATGGATAGAGAGAGACACATACTGACAGAGAGAGATATATACAGACAAACACACAGCCAGACAAATCCACTGACAGACAAACAGAACAGGCAAATAGATAGACACACAAATAACAAACAACATAATTTGGTTTTAATCAACGGGGTTAATAATGTTATTGGCCACTCTAAAGAGTTTCAAGTTGACGTTCGCCCATTAGCCCCTCGTTAGAGCGAATAAAGGGATTTTGGGTTGTGTGTGTGACAGACAGACTGACTGACCGACTGACTGACTGACTGAATTATTAACCGACTGGTTGACTTACTGAATGATTGACTGACTAACTGACTGACTGGCTGATTGACTAACTGACTCACGACTGGCTGACGGAGCGACTGGCTGACGGAGCGACTGGCTGACTGAAACAGGCCAGCAAACTGACTTCAACTAGCAATGGAAACACAACTCTGATTGTCCTTCTAGTAAATATGACAAATTGCTCAGTAACATTTATGTGACAAGATTGCCATAATTACGTACCTTGCTAGGAAGTCTCCAGTTCTTTTCGTTGAGAAGTAAGTAGCCAGTTACCATGCCAACAAGATACGGTGAAATACGACAGTAAGGCTTGACGTAAGTCAGAGACATGAAATCCACACCTTTCTGGCTGCAAAATCAATAGATAAATACGCATTGTCTATCACCAGACGATTTTCGCCGATGCGAATAACTAGGTATATGAAAGTCATATATTTGAACTGCGGGTAAAGACTTCGATCTTCGCAGTAATGAACAGTACTTGAGCAATGGTGAAAATATAGAAGGTCGTTTTCATATTCACGTCTTTATCCGCAATTCAAATGTATGACTTTCATATATTTACAGTCATTTATTCATCACTTCACGGGTTTATTTGGAACCAACATAATGACCAGCTCCTTGTTGGCTTGCTAGGTCAGTTGGTAGAAAGCTGCACCGGTATCGCAGAGGTCATGGGTTCAAATCGCGTACAGACCTGAATTTTTTCAGGCCTTATTTTCACTACTGCTCAAGTAGTGTTCATTACTGCGAAGATCGTTTTCATATTGAATTTCATAAGCTGATAATGTAGATTTCTAAAGTTGACGTTTCGAGCGTCAGCTCTTCGTCAGCTTTAGAAACTCTTTACGGTGACCAATATATATTATCATCTCAGTTGACATAGAACCAAATTATCATGTAATATCTCCCTCTGACGCCACACCTAAGTTTCTTGAGAAACCTACCCCCTTCCTTCGCAGCGGATACTAGCTGAGTCAACCAATCAGGGTTGGTGATTTTTTCATGTAAATTTTCAAAAATTGATAAATTAACATACAATTCACAAGTGAAAAAGTGAATGAGCAGACAAAAGAGGGAGTTCTCACCGTTGTTCCTGAGTTTCTCTACTAGCTATAACGGCGGCAATCTTGTAATGATCATATATAGCAGCTGTGGTGGCGAAACTTATGCTCAGTAAGAACCCAACAATCACAATCAATCCTCGAAGACGAAACCTGAGAAGAAACAAACAAGAACAGATCAAAGTGCTCTATGAGCAAACTCGTGAATTGACAGATGACTTACATGATTTTTTGGATTATGTTTAATGTTATCTGGTTTAGGGAATTTTGTGGTTGATTGTCATGTTTAGAGTACGAGCAGTAGTTCAGTGTTCGCTAATGTAGCAAAGAAACAAAGTAACGGTTGATAAGAAGGCATTACAATTGAAATGATCATGCTATTACATTTGACAAGAGTGGATGATGTTATGTGTTTTAAACATATATCATTTTTGTTTCTGGTTCAAAAGTAAAGGTTGGAAGTAAATGTGGAAGTAATACTGTCCTAATGAAAAAATTAATGATTCCCTCTTTATCAAACGGGAACGAGTTCTGAGTGATATCACAAAGCCCAGACTGCCACCGTCATTTTGGATTTCCGCCTGGGTAGATTTTGGTCACTTGCTAGGCAACGTATAATCAAGAACAAGACAGAATTTCATTTCTGGCCTATTAATCAATTTTGTGGTGTATAACTATCGCATTTTAGTACGTAACATTTCTTTTGAATCTTCAAATCATCTTGAAACTTAAAAGAAAGTTGTTCTTTAAAAATTTACTGAAAATCGGTAGCCAAAATTATTTGTTTAGGTATTATTTGATTTTCGTGTTAACCAGTAATTGCGTCAGTCACCGGCACCTTTTGTTGCTTCACACAGAAAAAACACACGATTCGAAATGTAATGATCGATTTTTTCCCCAATCTCACGCCATAACAGAAAAAGCTTTTGAACACCTGTAAACTCCGAGCGCTTCGTAGTAAGTGATATTTTTAATGAATATTCAGATTTTTTTCAAGTTCAAGGATTGTAAATCACAATTTTATGAAAAACGAAGGTTGTTTTTTTATTTCAGTGTGAATCTTCGCACGCCTGCCAGTCGCTGGCGCCGCTTGTTGAAACTAAAACGAAAAAAAAAAAACTCTTTTAAGATTATCATTGGCTTCCTTTTCACCCCACCCACTATTCTTGTTTACTACTCGCCAAAAACTATCAAATGCACTCAAAATCCTAAAATCGAAAACAAGTTTACAGGAATCGACCAATCGAGCGAGCGAGCGAGTGAGTGCCATTCTCCACATCATAACTACAACTCGCTCTTGCGCATGCGCGCAATTCACGAGTTAAAAAGAAGTTAAAAATGAATCAACCTTGGTTTACCTCTCCTAATCTATAGAAAATGAAATCTTCCGCGTAGAAGAAAAAGTATTTCCAAGGAAAACATTAAATTAGTTTTTCCCTATTTTTTCCTGTTATTCAACATTTACATTTTAGCCAACAGAGAAGTTCAACTCATCGAGTCAAAAACTGATAAAATGTCATTGCATTTTACTGTCTTTAGATTTTTGTAAACTTCCGAGAAAACATTTACAACGGGTGGAGGCAGTGAAAGGTATAATTTGCGAGGGCGGGGATGTGGAGGAAAATGATACCCGCCTAGACACAGTAGAATTATTCCTCAGACACAGGTTTTGTAAGAAACTGGCAGTAAATGTCAGCTTCAATATTTGTTCGAACTTTTTTTTTTGATAACAGATGCACTCTCTCTTCAGTTCATACCTGTACGCGACGAAGAGTATTGCGGGAGCAATGATATAAAACTGCGTGTCATTTGCTAGGTACCAGGCCCAACGAAAGCACTGTAGAGAAAAACATCGTACATCCATTTGGACTACTCCAAAAAACTGCAGTTCTAGCCTCAATTCTACTGAAAACAGGCATAAGGTCCTTGACGCTTCCCTAAGGCCTGGCCAAACGCACGCAAAATTTCAACGTAAAATCTTGCAACGTTGTTGCGAGCAATGTGTTGGACACATTTGGCCACCCTGTAGCAACATGTTACGACATGTTGGACGGTTTTGGATAAAGTTTGAAAATAGTCAAAGTTTTGTTGCAACATTTTTGGACATTGCAAGATGTTACGCGCGTTTAACCAGCTTCTTCACCATTTAACAATGTTGCAGGACGTCGCGTTGAAATGTTGCGTGCGTTTGACTGGGCTTTTAAACCATACCACTAACCGACGATAATTGCCCAAAAAATTGCTCTGACTGATGTGAGAAGAGCAAAGGAAGGAGGAGTGTCCTGAACTCCTGATCCAGTCTCACGCATCACATGTATAAAGGGAAGACTTCTAATCTCTCCTTTAGTGGACAAGATTTCAAGGAGGTTTTGAGGTTTTCGCCGGACACACTGGTTCATAATGCACGAATTACGCTCGCCTATCTGCACAATTCACACATCACCCATTTCAGCCTTAATCACGCGTCACGTATAAACACTTTGTCACCCTCTAATGTTACTACTTCAGGAAAAATCTCACCGATGCATTCATGCTAGTTGGATAGAAGTTGTTAATGTAGAGTAAGTTGGTCCACCAATACTTATCACACGGGTTCTTTGCCTGTGCTTTATACCAAAAAGGGCCGTCACCAAGAAATCTATACAGTTTGTCGTAAAACAACAAAACGAACATGTAAGCTGGAGTTAATCTGGGGAAAGATATGAAAAAATCCATTACACGAGGATCACTACCCAAACTTGTTATAAAAAACTATCACAATGCATCAGGCACTGACCTAGAGAGAGCAAATTATCAATGTCTACCTGAATGAAAATTATTTAAACGTAATAAAAGCTTCATAAACCATTGGAAAATTGTTTCTATCCCGGGGTGGACGAAAATTTAACACTTATGGCAGTTCTGAGGTTCCAACCTAAGCGCTGGAAAATTATCTGCAAATGTCCTTCGAATACAAGAACGGACGCCGCCATTTTGAAATACCTCAGTAACCTGGCCGCATACGCAAAACCACAACGCCGCACGTCACAAATAACTTCTGCTTTAGTCATAACTACAATTATAGACAAAAGCAATTAAAACTGTCTTTTTATGTGGCTTCTAACTACTGAAACTCAGCTGGTTGGTAATCTCCTCTTCAGCCATCGACTTGGTTTGTTACGCAACATATCACGAATATCTTTGAGGTTTGTAAATAGCATAAAAAAGATGGAAAGTTTTGAAGTTGGTCCAACGTGTGGACTTAACGATGACGAATTTAAAAATTGTCAAGCGAGGAAAAGACTTACCTCCAAAAACGATGGAAGTAGTACTTAAAAAGTGGCAGCTGTCCATTTTTCTTCTCCATATGACGCAAAGACAAATACGAAACCAGGAGACCACTGTAAAAAAAAAAGTTAATTACATAAACTGCTGTGTTTTACAATTAAGGATTCCCATTTCTGAAGAAAGCCGTCACAGCACACGCGTAACGATAATTTTCCACGAATTTGATATCGCCAATCAGCTGCTGACACGTCACTTACCTTTGGCGCTAATCTCTCAGGTCAATGAATGAATGGCAGAGCCTTCACCATTCTCCATCCGACGTCATTTGTCGAAATTTTCTTGGGCAATGGCTGCTAACAACACTGAATAATTCGTATCGCTTACAAAAAGTGACGTTAAAATTTTCCTAGAAGCGGAAGAAAACCATTTTTCGCCGATTTTTGCCCTGTAACCGAGCAGATTTCCCTTGTCAGTACGGAAAAAGTCGATAACTAAGAATTCGGTGAATTGAAAGTTATGCCTACTGTTTGTTTTTGTTATGATTCCACGCATTTTATTCATCTTGAGCCTTATCGCGCGGATTACGGATCCTTTCATCCATTCATTAATTAAGTCGAATTTTCTTATCAATAAAGGCGTATTATGTTTGTATATTAAACAAAATAATACATAGTTGCTTGTATATGTGGAATTTCTCTTCTCGTATTTAACTCGACATCTCACACGTTCGCTGCGCTCACTCGTAAGCTACCGAGTTGAACACTGGAAGAGAAATTCCATATCTACGTGCACCCGTGTATTATTCTCTATGTAGTACACGAGGTGTAAGTACTTAAAATAACTAAAACATCCCTCTGCGTTACACCATCGTAAATTTCCGATGATAGGAAGCACCCTCCACCCGTAAGAAGAGTGGCCCCTAACAACGTTAGGGAAACGACCCCTTCATAAGGATTGGGCGACAACAAACCACAGATCTCTTAGACTTGCAATTATATGTATTCAAAAATTACAAATAAATAAAAAATTGCAAAGGGCAGCCTTGTGAAGTATCTTCATTACCCTTGTGCATTGTCAAGGTCCCCCTCAAAAAGAAATGCATACAAAAATTACACCATAACCTCAAATAAGGTAACTGTCAACTACATACCTCAGGAAAAAGAAACTGTCCACCGAAAAGGTAGCATTGCCAATAGCTTCAAACGTAAATCGATGTATGACTTCAACCACGGAGAGGAGGTTGCCTACAGATAAAAAAAAGAGAGAAATACGAATGATGTAAGGTACTTCGTAAACAATTCTCTTTATTGCAGGCGTCATATTTAACAAGGATCATTCATTGAAAGCAATCTAGAAATAAAAAGCCCATTATTTTCTCTTGCTGAAAATCAAAGAACACGTAAAGGAGTCGCACGTTCATGTGTAAATGTTAAGTTAGGAAACCGGTACAATGATAACGCAGGGTTGACTTAGCTAGTGGTAGCCTTTCAAGAATAATCTGAAGCACAAACACAAGTAATGCATTTTCAGCACTGAGAACGACCAACCGGGGAAAGACCTAGCTTGTAATATGCCATTCGCAGGTGAATCTAATAGTCAATAAAGGAAAAAGACAAGGAGAGACTCCAATTCTAGCGATTTTATTGTATTCCAACTGGCGGTTTTATTGTGCGCTTCACAGCAACAAGAGGCTGACAATTTTCCGTCCCAAATCGCTTGCGGTTTCGCCGCTTATTTTCATGGCTCCGCCAATTGTAGGCTCGATAGAGTGCGGAAAAAACAAAACCAATGTAATCACAACTGCGAGTCAGTACAAAGGACAATAAAATCCACGAGCCTATAAGAATTAAAGGAAAACGCAAACGAAAACTTGACTGAGTAATCAATTAGTCAAGATTAGAGAAAGATGTTTTCGTCTTGTCACGAGCGTGGGACAAAAAAAAATTAGTACCCATGAAGAATTGAACTACAGACCTTCCGATTCCGCACTCCGATGCCACAGAGACTCTACGGTGAGTAAGGCCCATTACGAAGTTCATATATTACACGCTTACTGCATACTGCTCGAATGAGCAGTGTCGATAGTGTCATATGTTGTAAATAGAATAATAAAGATGGTTAGTTTTTAAGCTCGGTAAAGAAATAGAGATAGATGGGTGTTTTTCTTCCTCTATTTCTTTATCGAGCTTAAAAACATATCATTCTTCCTACTCAAGATTAGTTTTCATTTTGAATCTGTTTGGTTGAGAAATCAAACGAATTTTCTAAACCAATCACAGCGAAGTAGAGCAAAACCAAACCCATACAATTGTGAACAGTCGATCAAAAATTACTTTATGAAGTGAACAATACTTACTCATAATTGATACAGTTTGAAGCACATAAACATGTCCCAGGATCACCCACCACATACTCATCACTCTCATTCCATTGATTGACGTGATGGCGCCGACAGGGACTTTGGTGTCCATAATACGGCTTGTGTTTTTAATTAATGAGAAACACAGAAAAAATTGCACCACTAAATCTATAGGAATGTAACAGAGAGAGAGAGAAAATAAGGACTGAATTTATTCCATCAACGACTCTTTAGGAGTAGTTCCAGTTCACGGTGAACCGAAAGTATTTGCATTATTCTGGTTCTTGATCAGTGGACCCTCGTACCGTATCTGACCCTTATCTTCATAAATTAGCTATCTTCATAAATTAACAATGCGAAGAAAATTGAACGTTTGTTCAAATTCAACAGCAAAGAAGTTCGAAAAGAGAAAAATACGGTTAGAGCTGCACACACAAATAAGGAAGTACTGCCATGGCAGACCCATCCTTAGGAATAAATTGATCTGCAGGCTCAGTTGTTTGAAGAGTGGAAAACGCTATCTACTAGACAAATATATCTCCACATTGTGGATAGCGCAGTATGATTCGCTGGAGAGCGATCATCCGTTGGATAGTGTTATCCATTCTTTAAACATCAAGTCCTTCTACTTACACGGCTCATCTCTCTTCTGGGAAAAACTTGTAAGCCTAGTCGATGCACTAATTGCCACTTTAGGGGATGGGTTCATGAATTGCGTGGTGTTACTGCTATGCGCGCCACTTCCTGTGCATGAATCAGGAACATCACCTTCAAACGTTACTGGGGAGTCGTCTCTGATTGGTATGTAGCCATTTCTGTTGTTGACAGGTTCAGAGGTTTTCTTCAAAAAGCTAATCACAATGTCGCTAAGTGTTCCAATAAGGCAGAGATACAGGATTAGACCACACAAGATCCTGTGAACAATTATTAAAATTATTAATAATAAAAATAATGATGTTTAAATTATCTTGAAATCTACATGACATCTGATTAAAGTATTTAATTGTATTTCAAATTTTCAAACGTTTTTGTTGATAAACTAATATCTGAACAGTAACTATTCTCTGTGTTTAAAAAAAATGCAAAACATTGTTTTTAATACCATTATTAGGAAAAAGACCACTTAACTAGTACACACACATGCATTCATCCTTTACAGCCCAGAAGTGATTGACATGTAATTTCTCCCAATACTATCAATACATCATCCACCAAACAGGTGATGTGAATATTCAAACTTATCAAACAAAAGTTATCTTGACCAACAGTAGTTAAGGAAATGTGTCACAGCCAGCAGGGAAGAATTTACAATCAGATCTGGGAGTTAAGAGTTTAACACATATTAAAGTTCAATTTGTAAATACGCATTAAAAGCAATTGTAAAAATAATCCTTGCACATACTTACAGAGTGAATATTACTCCTGTTGTGTATTCTGATTTCTTATTGCAGTGAACAGCTTTGTCGCTTGCTGAAAGTCCATATAGGTTAGAAATCGGCCTTAATTCTACCTCAGTCTGATTCATATACTTGTTGATTCCTGTGTGGAAACAAAAAAATAAACAGATAAACCAAAGACTTAACTACTTAAAAATTCTTACATTCCAGCTTTCACCTGACTTGTGCTATCTTGGGAATACTTTCTCACTAGATTAAGTATAAAATTGTGATTGTACACACCTGTAAACATATCTTGCAGTCCTGCTGTAACATCCTTTTCACTGCATTGTTTTGGAGCACAAATACCCCAGCGCACAGGAATAGACTAGTCAGGTAACAAAGACAAATGATGACTGCACAGTTATGTACCATAATTTTAGGCTCACTCAGTACATCTTACAGGGTTTATTAACCACTGGAAATTGGAGAATTCTCTAATTGTTGATTCTCAAAGGCCTGAGCTGTTTATTTTAGTTCAGGTGTGCTCAATATTCTATTTTCACTTAAACCTTTCACTCCTTGTTCTCATTAGAAATGCTGCTTACTGTCTGCTATACAGTTCTTATGATGGAAGTTCTGAGCATTTGGTATGGGATCAACTGAAAATCCCCAGATTTAGCAGAAAATGCTTTAAAATCTTGGAAAGTGGAAATTGAAGGTAAAATAAGTTTCTTTAGGTATTACAATACAATAGATTTAAAATGTGTTATAAGAATTTGATCAATTATTTTTAATTCACAATTTAACATTGTGTAAATTTATGTACTACTGACCTCTGTAATGGTTAAGGAAAGCTGTGGAAAAGCCACATAGGCCAAACAATAGTGGGCATCAGGAATGCTTTCAGTACACTCACTGTAAGATCCTAACCAACCAGTGTTACCCCAAAAAAGTCCACTTTGAGGTTTACCGATAGCATCCAAATCTGAAGTAAACAGACAGCCACTAGTTATCAAAATGATTGACTTTACCACAATAACCATCATTACCATTTAGAACACCATAACTCAACTGAGACAACACAGGAAGACCAACCAATGGATGCAACAGTTGCGATAAACTTCTTGCAATATAAACAAATGTATGATGGTTGCAGATGAAAGACTCATAAAATTAAACAATCTATCTATTTTTGTCTAAAAAACCTGAATAAAGAGCTGGTTTATCTGTTTCTCATTCCTATAAATAATTAGCATTTGAAATAAGCATTTTGCCGGGGGGCTCAGGGCTCTTGTCCACAATGGCAGAGTGTTCATAATGGTGAGTAGTCTACAGGGCAAGAGTCGACTGTATTTAGTGACAAAACCATCAGCTGAACTTCTCTTCATTTTCATAGTACCAGTTTCGTAGCAGTCTAAGAGTGTTATCTCTCAATCGAAACACACTTAAAACAATGACTCAAGTTCGTCTCTCTGTATTTGCCAGTCATAATTTGCGAGAATATCGACAAAATTTGTGCAAATCTTACATTGCACACACCTCACAGGTAGTTCAACAGCTTTCAATTTATTTATAGTCATCACCTCAGAGATTTAGTTAAGGGACCAATACTAGTGACAGAAACAACACCATCATGACTTCTGACACCAAGTCTAGGGGCCAATACTTGTGACAGAACTTCCTTTATTTGTGGTTAGTGCAATCAAAATGGCAGACTACAAGAATGTATCTCTGACGTATAATTGTGCGAGTAGCCACTAACCAACATCTCCTAACAAAAGAAAGAGACTAAAAACCCAAAACAAAAACCAACCTGGGACTATAACTTAAATACCCATAGCCTAGGACCATACAGATGGTATGCTACACTCGAATGACAACAATAGAACAATAGTAGAAATGCATGTTAACTGTTTGTATGTTCAGTGACTCTTAGTCGATGCTTATAAATAAAAAAACAGCTTATGACTAGTTTGTGACATAGTCTTTCAGTCTTTTGGGATTTTAAATTAGCCGTCTAGACTGGGTCTGCTTAACTTCTGTGTTAGTTCCGGGGGTTGTGGTGGTGTAATGTCTGGTGCTTGGTCTTCAGGGGCCTGAGGGTCAACTAGTGTGGTATTTATGATTTGCAAACTGACTGGGGTCTGAGGAAAGGGGGGTCCCTAAAGTGGTAGACTGGGTTGGGCTGAAGGGTGTTGACTGGACTGTGGTTGCTTTGCAGTTTCCATTGACCATTTCTGGTAAATGTTTGTGTTGTGTGTGCTTATTTCAACTTCTTGGGGATTGGTTCCAGGAAGATGGGTCTGCAGGCTTTAGTTGGACTCTGTTCCTTTGAATCATGCAGCCTTAAGCAGTGTTGGTTGATCACTTCTCCATAGATCCATGGTTTCCCATGCTGGTGCAGAGGTGGTTTAGCATAAGCATAAGTACCAATGATGAGTGGTTCTTATTCTACACTAGCTGACTTGTGGTAATGTGTTTTGCTATGGCACCTTTTCTTTGAGATCTCCTCCTCAACAATTATGGTTTAGTGTGGTGGGGGTCAAGAGTTAATCTGTGGTAGGGAGTGTGGTTCTGGCATGTTGTAGAAGCATGCGAAGGGCTGGCGAGTAAGTGTGACCTTGAGGTTGTTTGTTCCTGTATATCAGCATAGCACTGTGGAAGTCATCAGCTCTTTTTAACAAGGATTCTGCAACTTTAATGGCAGCTTCAGCTCTTCTGTTATCTTTAGAATGGCAGGGGGATGATGTGGAATGTTTAAACCTGTATTTAACAGAGAACTTCCTGTAGTCTTCACTAAAAATATGTACCAGGTTCCCTTCGAAGTTTCATCTGGCTGTGTCTGAGGCCTGTCCAGTGGACATTTTCGTCAATTCTTATGGACGAGTTTGCGATTAATTTGTTTGTCTGCTTGGCGGACTCTATAGCTCTCGCCTCGGCGACTACATCGGAAAGGGAATTCTTAAAGTTGTCAGGTTTTATATGTGTTTTAAGCAACTCCGTACGTATGTTATCATCATTCAGCCCAAATATAAATTTTTCTCTACACCGTTCATCACTAAGATCGCCATAGCCACATAGGCTACCAGCGTGTCTCACCTTAACTTTCCACTCTTGCATGGACTCGTGATGGGTTTGGGAGGTAGTTCAGAACTTGTATCGATCAGTCAGGAGAGAACTTCCTGTGCTGCCAGTGTAATAGGCTCGTATTTTATTCATCTAAACCAAGGGTTTCTTTTAATCTCCCTCTGGAATTTGAGGTTCGATTGTGTATCTGACGACCGACAAGGCTTCATCTGGAAGTGCAGAGCGTAAAGCTGAAATTTCTCTCAGAAGACTTTTGTAATGAGCGGCTCTTTCTGTAAGAGGATCTTTAGCGAGTTCGCGGTAGTTAGCTTGTATGCAGTAATCGTTGAATCGTGACTCGAAGTTATTGACATTTTAACTCACATTTCCCACAAGTTCGAGTTCCGTTCGCCATCGTGTTGTCACACATCTGACGCCAAACTCGTGACATCATAGCGGACTCTGTATGATCGTGCGAGTAGCCGCTGACCAACAAGATGGCCCATCAAAAAGGTTGGCAGAACCGCCGTAAGCGATTTCAAAACTATGTCACGTGAATTCGTTGTTCTCTTACACAGGTATGAAATTAAATTCAATCGAGCTACCGAAATTATCCATAGTGTTTAATCAACCTTAAAGGGATCAGAGAACATTGAGACGCAGAGAAGTTATCAGCGATCAGTTTACTCCGTGGCCGTGAGATAAAAGTAAAAAAAGAAAACGTGATTCTTTGATCACCTGGCATCTAGTATCAAACCTGGTTCACGTGACACCATGCTGAAGATGGTACAGGACGGTAATGGCAGTTTGTGCAGAAAATATATTTTAGGCAAAGTTTAGAAGGGGAGTTAGGTTGGTTATTTTGTCGTGACGCCACCATCAAGGTAAATTAAAGATTCCTAGACGAAAAGTTGGAAATTAGATGCGCTATACTCACACTTTAAGGATAGAGGCGATTTCAGAAGTTTTTGGACCATAGCTTGGCACTCTTCGGAGACGTCTGAGAAATTAAATTTCGGGAGTGAAAATGGGAATGGAAAGCCAAACTGCTGAGCGATGTGACTGTTGCCTTCCCAAACAGATCCAGGAGATGAAGATGAACATCTCTGAAGCACAGAAAAGGCGACGAACACGGCAAAGGATTTAACAGCCGTCTTCGTTGTTGAACAACCCACCATGATGAAGCCGCACAACAAGCTGTAAGACATGTGAAGTAATGCTGATGAGAAAGCCGTATAACATTCAATAATTGGCAGAGAGATACTGGAAACGAAAGCTATTCTTAGAGATTGGGAGTAGGCTCTATGTGAGAAACGCGAATCAGTGAAAGGTTTGTAAGGATACCTCGTATTCTCGTTCCAAATTGACTAAGGATGAATGTATAAGTAGCTTATAGAGTGCTCTGGAACAACATTTGATGTTGCAGTCTGATTGTCCGGGTAAGAGTAGTTCTGAGAAGGACTGTTGTCCGTAATAGTAGCTGTCGTTTTGATAACCTATGCAGAAATCATCATCAGTGTCAAGTCTCGACACTGATAAATTACAGAGTCAAGCCAAAAACATAATTATGCCCGCGAACGTAAACTCTATTGTTTTATTGCAAGCTCTCCAGATGTGAGTTTTCTAGGACGGATAAACAAAAAGCCGTTGCTTTTCCAGTCCCGACTACGGTAAAATATGGCCAATCCATAGAAAACGAGTATTTCCGAGAAAGGGGGTCAAATTCTGATACTTTTTTGTGCTGCACGTTGTTTCCAGTCCCAGTCTCTCTCCGATCATGTGTTTTCTGCTGCATCATCAATAGTACGGCATTTCTTAGCCGGCGTTTACAAGATGGTAGGAATTTCACCAACAAAGACAGCAATGGAATTCATTGCTATCTTCTTCGCTTTTGCTTTGCTCAACACATGTTCTTGTGCATCCCCTGGATTTGTTCTGGAAAACTACAGCCAGCTCGCACAGAAGTTCGGCTTTCCATCGTTGCCTCCTCTCCCTATAAAGTTTAACTTCTCAGACATCTCCAAAGAGTGCCAGGATACTGTTGCAAACCTTTTACAATTACCAGTTGCGTATTCCTGTGAGTATATCAAAAGTAGATTCGTACTTTATACGCACGTCTGTGACAACGTTGTCACGAGGGAATGACCCTACCAGCCCATCGTAATATTTGCATTAGAAACCGGCGGAACGCTTCTCTATATGTATTTGGTCATGTACTATGCGCGTGATATATCTCGTGATTAAAAGATGTCGATTTTATTTTTTGACACTAAATTAATGCCAGCTTGATGTTCTTACCTTAGCCTGATCATGCAGGTATGCTGACGCCCTTCTTTGTCCCTTGTTTAGTTCATAAATTTAATTTTCGTTCACTTTGCTGGTTGATAGCCGAACTCTAGATTGGTAACTTGATCAAAGCTTCTTGCAAACGCACTACATCCCTTAAATTCGCTTCATCAATGCATGAAAAATTTCAATCTGTTTAGGTGAATGAAGTGGTCACCCTTAATTAGGCGGTCACCCGGTGATTTTCCGTAGATCGCTTCCATTGACGACCTTTATGAAACGGTCTGCATCTAATTATTATGTCACCCCGCTCATGATCATGCAGGTCTCGCTCTCGTTTGGCAGATCGCCTGCGTGTCAATATACGGAATGCAGTCGATTCGCTCGATTTCATTCGATGTTTTCAAAGGTTTTGACCATCGAGGCGAGAAGAGAAGACGTTTAATTTATTTCGAGACGACATCTAAATAACCGGCAGATGTGCGTCGATCATCTTAGTTATTCTCAGGTCATATTGGTTGCGCTCCACTGCAGACCTCTTAAAATGAAGGAAAATTGATTGATATTTACAAATGGCGGTCTCTTTTCTTGAGATGTGGATGCGATCGGCAAACCTCAAAGTGGACTTTTTCTGGGGAACACTGGTTGGTTAGGATCTTACAGTGAGTGTACTGAAACCATACCTGATGCTCATTATTGTTTGGCCTATCTGTCTTTTACACAGCCTCCTTTAAATATTACCAAGGTGAGTGCATATTGCAGCTTTTAGTAAACTTTTACAGAATTGTCAATTTTTGCTTCATTCTACAAATGTGATATTGTACAAACCTTTTTTGAGTAAAGTGTAATTTTTAATTCCACAGCCTAATTTCTCTTACATCCGATTTCCTTGACTATCAAAAATATGCTGCAAGTTTCAGGGCTTCAAGCCTAACTTTTAAAGGTTACTCGTTAGGAACTCAAAAAGAAACAAAATTTTATCAGCATGATAATATCTGAATTTGGTGGACCTATCACTGGGAGCTTCTGCCAAAGAAAAAATATGCAAACTTAAATTTCGTAAGGGAGCCATGGTCTTCTAACCATATGTTATTGTTAGTTGTTTCCTGTCCGCTGGGGAATTTGTGCACCCAAACAATGCAGTGAAGAGGATGTAACCAGAGGTCTGCAAGATGTATTTACAGGTGTGTACACAGCCAATGAAAATATGTTATTTCCTGGGCTGGAGGTCTGCATGGGAAAAACTGTGCCCAAAGTCTTGGATACCATCTAAGGTAAAGGGTTGTCCTTGTAGGGGATAACCCTGTGCCTTAGGCAGTATCCACATAAGGGACATTTTTTTAACCACAGGGGACTACCCTGGATGGGTAAATAACATAGTTATTTTTTTCTGCTGGTTTGCTTTTTTGAGCTTAATTTTAGCTATAAATGGTGCTAAAAAAACTCTTTCTTGAACTCTGTATTGTGTAAAAGCTATTGGACCAGTTACAAATTTGCAATTAGCCAATTAGATTCAAAGATTTAAGATTTCAGCCAGCTGGATTACTCTGAGAAAAAGGAAAGAAAAACATTTTGAATAAAAAAATATGGCGTTACATGCTGAACTCAACAAATCTAGTTTGTTGGAAAATGAGCTCATGCTTAATATATTTGTCAGTAAGTAATTATAAGACACTGGGTCATCACAAAGTTCACAATATATTTTTTGTTGTAACCTCTTAGGGATTAATAATTATGCAAATAAAACAGAAGTGGTGTTGAGGCCAGGAGCACAGCCATTTCCAGGACAAGATGCAAATGGAAAATCTGTTTACTGTAGCAAAAAATCAGAATACACAACAGGAGCAATACTCACTTTGTAAGTGCATTAATATGATGCAGTTTAGTCAGGCAATGAGACAGTGAGACAGGTCTTTCATTTACTCACTTTTGCAACTTCACACACTCC